TTACTGACCAAATATCGATTTATTTTTTAAATGGCAGACAAGTTCCAATCATAAAAAAATGTATGTTTGTGGCGATTAAGTATTACACATAATTTGCATATATAGTTAGAATAGACCTACCCGTAGTATTTAGAACAATCAACAACAAACCAATCGCTGCATGCCTACTGAAATATACGGTAAGCCATGAACGATACACCGGATCATGTGTTTGGCCCACCCAACCCTCTCGTTGCTTGACAGTTAACCAAAAATAATGAGTAGTTTTAGATTACTTCGTGATTCTAGTATGGTAAGTCTATAATTATACTTTACTTGCTTTCTTTATCAGAAATAATAGGCCTAGCTACCATAGATTTAGGATTATCATAGTGATTTCCACTCGTCTTTATCAGTCCTGGTTGGTTATACTCTTTGCCATATATTAATGGTTTCCTCTCTTCCATACATCTTATTTTTTACGTTGTTGATTCTGAGATATACAGGATATCTATAGGTTGCCACCGTGTGGCCCACGGGCTACTGGCAGCCCGACGGCAATTTCATTGTGCCCCACAAAATAAATATAAAACTCATATTGCCCGTTTTTGATTGCATTTAAGCTCACATTTTTATTGTATCTTTTTTTAGAACCTTAATATAATCTTATAGCAGAAATACCAATGATGATAGGCCTGATAATAATAATAATGATAATAATAATTACTATAATAATAAAAATAATAATAATTAGTTAATAATAATAATAATAATAATAATAATAATAATAATAATAATAATAATAATAATAATAATAATAATAATAATAATAATATGATGATGATGATGATGATGATAAGGAGAAAGAGGATGAAGGGGGAGGAGGATGATAGCGACATGATATAAAATGCAATACAGGTCTCCCTCCAATTAAAGGCCACTTTTGGGATTGGGTTTCCATGGTCTTTAGCAGCTTTTGTCTCTAATTAGAATAATAAATGTAAAAAGACAGGCCTCCTCTAATTAAAGACCCCTTCCAGCTTTAGCTAGAAACCCCATTGTTTTAACGACCCAATGCCGATCATCAGTAAAAAAAAAAAAATTAAAAAAGAGGTAGTATTAAAACAGAGCATAAAGTGGTATAAAAGCATTGCATTAAGGTTTTGAATGCATGCGCACAAGATTTGGGAGCGGCCGTCAAAATTCACTTCAGCTCCATCCGATCCATTTTTGTGCCCACCCCAGGTATGGACGTAGTGGGGAATCAAATACAGGCCTCCATCTAATTAAAGACCCCTCCAATTAAAGATCAACTTTCCTATGGTCTGAAATTAACAAATATCTTTATCTTTGTTATTCTAATTAGGATAATAAGATAATAATAATAGGCCTAATCCTCCTCCTCCCCCCTCCCCACTCCTCCTCATCATCATTATTAATATTATCAGGCCTATCATTATTGGCGTTTCTTCTATATTATTTCGTTACCTTCTAATTAATAATACAATGACGTGAGTTTAAATGCAATCAAAACGGATTATAAGGGACAATATTAACTGAGCTATGTCACAGGTAGGTAGACTAGGGAGCAGTGAAATTACAGTGTAATTTCACTGTTCCCTGGGTAGACATAATTGATGAGCCCTAGTTAATTAAAGAATCAAACGGACAATTCAAACCGATATATGCCTTAAAGTAAATATTAATAAAATGTTATTAAACACCGTGTAATAAGATGTTTATTGAGCATGAATATAGAGCAATCATAATATATTGCAAAACCATTTTGTTAGGAAATGCAAAACTCATCATAAAATTAGAGCTTAAATTCATCCTTGTTAATCATCCCAGATATATAATACCATTATGATATTACAGAGGGCCCTTCAATGTTATAGACCATCTGATGGTCATTGAAGAAAATGACACAGTGGTGGACTATGATCCAGTTATAGTTAACTAAACAAGTGGGGATAGTATGGGAGTTTGGGAGGGCGAAGCCCTTGTTGCTCAGACGACAATGGGTATATTTGAGTCTTACTGTATAAACAAATGGTTAATTTATGTGCAAGCCGACAGTGATTTAATGATTGATAGATTGATTTTTGTTTGTTGATTCATGATTGATTATTGTTGTTGATTCACAGGCTCGTAGCGTGACTTAATTTGTGGGAGGTTCGTTTCAGTAAAAAGTGGATCTTTTGGCTTGTATGATCTCCGATACTCTGAAGAACATTGTAAATATATCTACGAATATTAATTTTTTCGTTTTTAAATGCGGACCTTCTCCAGTTTTTGGGCGGTTCGTCGTAACGCCCTTAACCCCCACCCCCTCCCACGCTACGGGCCTGATTCATGATTGATTACTGTTGTGTTGATATATCTCCATACTAAAGTTACTATCATGACATTTACCATTATTCAATGCTAAGGAGAAAATCCAAGGGTGCAAAATACTATACTTTTTTCATCTGGTAACTTATGAACGATTACAATGTATATGAATGGTCAAATTATCTCCAGACTGTATTTAATGTTTATTGATTGTTTGGTTGATGATCGATTAAACGATAAATTTATGTGCTGATTACATAAATCACACCCACCGTGTATCGCTATACCATAAAAGTAACTTTCATGCGCTTATGCTTTACTATCGTTCAGTGCGTATCATGCAATAAACTGAGGGAAAATATTAGAATTTCAATATTCATGGTTTTACACATATAGAGTATTTAAAAAAGAAAAAATAATAATAAAATAAATAAAAATACAATTATTAGATTGAACTCTTTTCAATGAACTGTTTATTGGAAATGAATATATATTTATATGTGTGTATATGCTGTCTTCGAACACTGTATTTACCTTCCTTTGATGATTTATATATATATATATATATATATATATATACATATGTGCATATATGTGTGTATATATGTATATATTTTATATATAGGCCTAATTATTATTATGTTACCGTATGTAGAAATTAGTACATCAAATTGTTGATGATGGGACAATAAATGAAGAACGAAAATGAAAAATGCAAGTATTAAAATATAATAATGGCATTTTCCCACAGGTTATTGCATGATACGCACTGATACACGCCATTGTGCACTGACCCTTCTCGTATGTTACATTTGTGTTACATATTTATGTTTTACTTTTAAGTATTGATAATGTGTATATATAAGGTGTTACTTGTCTGATGGAAACCATTGAAAAAAAAAAGAAATGAAATAAAAGTGGGTGAAATCCCTACAAACGAGAGAGAAAAAATAGTTTAGTCTTACGGTATTAAACAGCATTTCTGAACACTTCAATCACTGGTAATGCATGTTGATATGGATACAAAAGTTTCAAATATCAAAATCGATATACCAGTGTTAACTATTTAAAGTATAAGAATTATGTGCATAAGATTTGCCTTCTGCCTTCAAGGTTGACAAGTAATTTGTTTTTATGTAAAAATTTCCATAAATACATGTTAATTCACCTGATTTATATGCTACGTAATTTCTAATTAATGTCTAAATATCTATGCATACAACTAGAATGTTCACATCCATATTTTTCACGATTTATGATTAAGGAAAAGATGGGAAATTGCGATCAAAACTTAATGTATGTCACTTACGTAGACATAAAGTGACTTCTCTGGAACTTTCACATTATATTATTTCACATGGTTCATTCGTTGCTAGATAATTTCTTTTGTGAATACCAAGGGACAATAATAACAGCAAATAATTTTACAGGTGGTAGATATAATCGATGATCCCGAGTTAATAGTAAACATAATCAAGCGGATAAACTTTAAGGTAAAAATTTATATAATGGTAATACACACCATGTAATACCGGTAAAATTTACAGCAATAGAAGAAAGCAGCACAAATGAGCAACCGCCCGTCAATAATTATTATATAGTTGAGAGATATACAGTGTAGAATTAGCATTGACATACACAATCAATTCTGCTCCAAAGCAAGGAATAGTAGGAAAACTATCAGATTAATATTTACAGTATCAAAAATTGATCTTGCAAAATGAACATCAAATTTAATTCTGTTGAAAACTTACATGAAATTAAAATCATTGCACAAAATAGAGAACTATGGAAAAGGCTTTATGAACATAATCAATGTTTGAATACTGAATGTTGAAAGGAAACTAAACTAGTTTTTATGTCATGCCTTGTATAATTTTGTTTATTTTGTTCTTATTAGGAATGAATATTGAAGTTTAAATTTGTGTAGTATGGGGTATGATGTTTAAGTTAAAAAGTACTTTATAAATTAAAACAATTATATATATAATTAAAATTATTATTAATAATAATAATTATTAATATTATTATTATTATATTATTATTATTATTATTAATAATTATAGTTATAATTATTATTATTATTTATTATTACAATTATATATATATAATATAATAATATTATATATATATATATATATATATATATATATNNNATATATATGTTCATGAATACATCTAGAATTTTCGCTTTTATTATTCTTTCGATGATTTATTCATTACTAGGTAATTTTATGCCTAAATTTCCATAAATACATTGCTATTGTTTTACGTATTGATAGTATTATTGCTTATTGTCGTTGTGTTGTTGCGATTGTTATTTTAGTTCATTATGAGTATAAGTACCATTATCATTAACAGTATTATCATTATCAACATCATTATCATCATTAGTATGCATATACATCTGGCTCTGGTTCTCCTACCTTTACCATCATCATCATCATCATCATCATCATCATCATCATCATCATCATAAAACATCATCATCATCATCATCATCATCATCATAAAACATCATCATCATCATCATCATCATCATTATTATTATTATTATTATTATTATTTGTATTGTCATTATTATCAGGAATGATATTGTTTCTGGTTAAAGTGTAATTGATGATGTATATTTATCACGGCCTTTTATTAATCATACTGTTAAAACACTACGGTATCTCTGATTTCAGAATTGATGTAGCCGGTTTATAAACGATGAATGGTTCAATTTTCAACTTCACTTATGATGAGTTTAGCAGTTATCAGTACTATTGGGAAGAGGAGACGAATTACTTCGTTGACGTAGTCTACTTGCTGATAGCTACTGTTGGATGTATCGCTTTTGTAGGAAACGCATTCATAATAGGTGTTGCGTTGTCTACGGTGAAAATTCGTAAGAAGCGCAGTAACTACTTCATCATGAACCTTGCATTACAGGACGCATTCGTGGGATTTACCGTCGCTACTATTTATATTATTACATACAAATCTGCATACACCGATTTAAATATCTCCATATTGACATTTTGTTCGTACACGTACACGGCATTGCTATTATCATCAATGTTGGCGATTCTGATGATCGCGATCGAGCGGTGTTTTGCCATAATAGCGCCATTTCAACATCGTCTGTACGTGACAAAATTCACATTATCCGTTGCAATATTTATAGATTGGTTGGTGTTCGGAGGGATGTACATATTTTTGAAGTATTTTGAGGGAAGTCCACTGGTGATGCCAATATTTATGCTTTGTATAATATCGACAAACTTTCTAATATACCTTGTAATTTTTTTATCCGTCAAGATTCACTCATCAAAAATTCAACGTGTATGCAATAGGCCTATATCTCGCAAGAAACAGATGAATCGGGACGCGAGACTGATCACCACATTCGCTATTTTGCTTGGAATATTAATAACGTGTTTCGTGCCGTTTTGGGTTCTTGACATTCTACTGAGGACAAGTTCATCACCGGCAGTAAATGAAGCAATTTTCGTCACCACGGTCCTAATACCACTCAATTCAGCCGTCAATATGTTTGTCTACTGGTGGCGGATTCCGGAGTTTCGAACGGCCTACAAGCGGGTATTTTCATGTAAAAAGTGTGAGGAAAAGCAATCGACCACTCAAAATCGATCCGCTAATAATAATAAACAGCACACGAAAATATCAATAATTAGCTCCCGAATATAAAGGACACGTTGCCAAGTTTTTGAATATAGCTATAAAAACACATCATTTCAATAGATTAGTTATATAAATTTAAAATCATAATGAAAAATATAATCATATGAAAAATCATAATGAAAAATATAAATATTTAAAATCATAATGAAAAATAGTAAGTGCGTATCTCAATATTTAATTAGTTATATTTATACTGGCCAGGAATATAAATGTATAATAAACATGGGCCTAAGATATGTGAATTTTTATGTATCCTAATTTATATAGGCCTATATATATATTTTTATATTTACAATTAAATTAACATTCACCAACATTATGCTACAAGAATTTAGTAGACCAGAATGGTTTATTACTTTGATAAATTCACATTGTTTTGATGTCAATATATAGTGTGAGGTATATGAAATAAAATGAATTGTAAATCAAATTTTATTCAGAAGTGGTCAATTCGCCTTTCTGTACGTTGAGAAAATAACATCATGAAAATTAAGACCTTAGAAATGATAAGAATTGTTGCATTAAAAAAATTCGAGAAAATTGGAATTGCAAAAAAAAAGAATGGTGCAAGAAGCACATTTTCATAGGCTGAATCAGCTGTTGTGTAAGTGTAATTTTTTTTACACACTATGAAGCGCTTTAGCCTACAAAGTACTTAACTACCAGCACACCAGCTTGGGTGCTCTTTCTCGATAAAAATAAAATTTCGATGATATCAGCAAATACCAGTCTACCGCCCTCTATTATAAATATTGCAACGAAAGAAATGGTTGCTATGATCCAGTACTGCAAGTGTATCAGACTACCGACCTCCTTTTCGCACATTATGTTTATTATGTTTTATTATGTTTGTTTTCGGCTTACAATCTATTGCCAATTTAATTTTCTTTTTTTTTTCACCTGACGAAGCCAATGGTAAAATAAAGTGATTCAATCTTTAACCATAATAATTGACATAGCAAGGGATTTATTCCGTGAGTATGGGTTATTCATGAATTTGATATTTCTAATCATTGGTGTAAGTTAGCAATAAAAAGTCAAAATACTAAAAACTGTGGGTAATGATTGCTGGATCTCAAATGAGATACAAAATTGTTAGGAAAAGCTAAAATTTAATCATACATTACATTTAAACTGTATGAATAATCAAGTT